TTCGAGACCTCAGTCTCTCCTTCTCTATCGATAAAATATTGCATACCGAAACGTTCCTCTAACCGCGACAACTCCTTCGAACCGTTTCACAGCCCCCGCCCAACCATCTCCTCCAAATACGTAGCGTGAACCCTGTTCGAATGCGATATTCCATGTGGCGAGAGGTTCGGTCCGTTTTAAATTCGAAATTACACGACTAACGAGATTCGCGGCGCGAATTTGCAGCGACCCAAATTTCTCATGCGACTTTAGCGAAGGGTCGTTCTGCTGGTGCAGCAGAATGCGACACCCGGCTCTTCTCTCTTCGCGGGCATATTTATCGCTAGCTCGCGTTCGTCGAGATTCGGAGACAGAGTGGATGCGAGCGTTGGATTTAGCTTAACGGCCTGGGAACTATCCTCGAGCCGGTTGAACCGAGCGGAAAGTTGGGTAAAATGGTCAGGCGGACAGAGGCGCGCGTCAAGCGCCTCTCGAATGCAAAGAACCTGAACCTCCTGGGTTACGGAACGTTTCGAAAGTTTCACCCCACGAGCGGCACACTTGAACACACTTGTTCGTTTTTTGGCGTAACGAAACGGCAGCTGCCGGCCAATTTTATGGGACAGCTATGACAGAATCATGTTAATGCCCCGATCGTAAGTGTTACGAACGGATTACGTTGTTACACACTTATGAATACGTAACTGCTGCTTTAGACGTAGTAGAATCGTGTGTTCGAATTCGAGGGAAATTTCAAAGAGGTAACCGTCTTAAGATATTCATAATTACATCCGGGGCGAATAAAAATTGGAATTAATTGGCAAGGCTGGAGAAGGGCGCGTTTCCCTCGCATAAATAAACAACTTCCGTCGGCGACTTCGGTCAAAAAGATGTATAATTTTTGCGGTCGCACGCGCGCTCAGCCCGGCGTCGAATTTGTAATTCCAATTAAACGCTCGCGGCAGACTCGCGCGCGGACCAGTTAACCGAGGGAAATGAATTGTAGCGGGGACGATGCAGCGACGATTAAGCCGCAACGGGCCGCCGCGCTTTTTGTATTTCCTTTCGGTAACCCAAATAAACGTTATTTTTTTCATGCCACCGTACCTCACCACCGTGTGTCCCACCGAAATAGTAACGGTGACGGTCTTGATCCGCGGACGACGATCGCGCCAATCATTGTTCGATGGTATTTAGGAGACCGCCTATTTTCAGACCACTATTTTTATTTGAAATCGCTTTCAAGACGTTTGTAAACCCCTGCCAACCATGGGGCACGCGAATCCCGATGCATCACCGAACAGTCACGCGACTATAACACACCTCGGCCCTGCCTCCTCCTCTCTGCTAATCCACACGCTTTCCTTATACGTATCTACATCACCTCCATCTATCTAGGCTAATCTATTACCTATTGCGTCACCGGTTTGCCCTTTGCAAACTTCCTCTTAAATTCAAACGCCCCGTCTTCTTCTCTACGTACAATTCAATTTCACTTAACAGCTACAGGTAACGAACTCGATTAAGATTGCGATCGCGAACAAGTCGAATTTTCCTCGGAAACTGCGGTTAATTAACCCACGTGAAACAACCGTATTTTCTACCAGATTATTACGAATAATTACCACTTTTGATCGCCTGCTTATTTGCCTACAGGTTTCAATGTACAGACTCTCGTGTGCAGGCAACGGTATTGTTCCTGCTATTGTTCAAAAACGCGTACACGGTTCTTAGGTTATACCGAAGCGAAGAGAGAGAAACGAATCTGCACGTCACGTCGATCGGACCGGAGGTAAGCGATGTCGACTGGAAAAACGCAAGGTATTCGATGACGTCGAACGATAGGAAAGGCAAGCGGACCGATATCCCTATGGAAACACATCCACCGGAGCTTTCCTTTGTCACCGCTCGATCAGATACAGAAGCGACAACTTATTTCATTTAACCAGCTACCATTTCATTATCGGTGTACCCAAGGATCGAACGACCTTCTGCTCGATTTCAAGCAGAGAAGCCCCTCTCTTCTTCGTTCCATGGATTTTCCTCGACTTTCTTGCCAGAAGCTTCTTTCTTCTCGCCTTTTCTCCAATTTACCTCGTTCCAAGTTGGCTATTCGACTGAAAAATTCCGTTCGTCTCTTTCCATCATTTTCGCCGCAGCAAACCGATCGCACGGTGAAACCAATCGGCATTACCCGGGATGAAATCCTCGCTACGCGTTAACCAATATTCTGATAACCGGTACTTTCGAGGTGCATCGTCGTCGAAATGACCAAAAGAGGGTACGAGAAGAAGGTTTTCCATGGAAATGCCGAGGAGAAGAAGCGGCGGGGAGGGAAACGAGGAGAATCCAAATACGCGGAGAAAGGGTTGAAGGCGTGTGGACATTCCGGAACCTTTTCCCATGCACGTGCACGTAGATACGCGCGCGTCCACGTCGGGCTAGGCTCTTTCATGATTGCGCAAAAATCATTTGCATGACAATGAGGCACGGCCGCGTGCCGGATAGTTTAGCTCGTGGTCCGAAAAAAAATGCACACCGGCTCTGAAAAAGCATCACCGCTGTGGGAAACCGAGCACGCTGCTCTTAAACCGGTGTTGTCCTTTCACATCTCTGCACATTAGCTTCTTATTCCCTAATTACGACAAACTGCGTGTTCGCGACCTTTCTTTTTTCTGCTCCTGTTGCGATAACATTCCCCGCCTCGTACGGTGAAAGTAATTGCAATTTCACGTTACAACAGAGAGGTTTCTCGCGATATTTGTAACGAACGAAAGAAACGATAAGGAGAAATTGCGCAAATGAATAAACGTTAATCACCGTCGCGAATTAACAATGAACAAATATCGAGTGATTTATCTACGGATTGCAAAAAAAAGTGTTATCCGCCGGAAATTGGTACATTTATGAGTAACAGGGGCGTTTCGATATCGCTACATTGTATCGGTCGCGTGCAACTAAATGGGTAGCTTGTAACTCAATTGCGATCTTTCCAACAGTATTTTCAATAAGCATAAGGGAAACGCTCGGACCAGACTGTGTATGTACTTAGCTGCGTACTTTTGCAATATAAAGTGTGTCAGTAGGTGTTTGCATTAATTAGTAAACGCGTTACACTCACCTTAGTAACGTATGCTAATTAGCTTGCAATTTTACGAAGAAGACTCTTGGATACAACCATCGCGCGAAATATTCGACGCAAATGGGAAAACGTGAATTGCTATTTTATCAAGTAAATCTGTAGGGAGCTCTTGAAACATGTCTATAGACAATAAGCGCCAGATCGAGTTACCTGATTTATACTGTATGTCGTCTGTGCAACACACGCTATCGTTGAACCGTACCGCGGGTATATCGTCGTCAGAAACCGGCGACCACTTCACAATAATACGTACACACGGAAAGCCACGCACTATCTTTTTTCTTGCCACAGACGGCGAGACGTCCTTCGCGTAATGGGCAAACAAAGCACACACGCTTTCGTCGTGGTGTTTTCGTTAAAACTGAAAAACCACGTTATTGGAATACAGCTGCCAATGACACGCGATATTTCTCGTCGATGTCGTTTCCAAGTAGGAGAAAAAAATACGAGTTTCGTGCAAAGCTGGGTATTTATTTAGAGAACGGTCGTTGATTCGTTTTTCGAGAAAATAAACGGGAACCGTGAGGTTATGTTCGAGGACAAATAAGCTGAAGCTGGTTCGACTTGTAATGCTTCGAAAGGCACATCGTGTATGCACGAGTGCTTGTGTACGAAAAAAAAAAAAAAAAAAGGAAATACCGAAAGATTAAGTCGAACCAGTTCCTTTTATCGACGATGAAAAAATTAGAAACAATCGAAATGCGGTTATTTTGTTTACTCTTTTCGTTTCCTTCCATGATATTTAATATCATAAATAACCTTTCGCGATGTACGCTATTTACGGGTTCTTTATAGGAAAAAATAAATATTTATTACGAGCAGCATGCCCGTGCTAATAATTTACCTGAGGATTATTCACACGCAAGCGTAACTCTTCCGTGGACCCCCCACGCAATCGAACGTAGAACGCATCTGCGACACCATATGCACTAACCGTTTTACCGATGCAACGCTTCCAATCTTTCAGAGGCAAGTTGTTAATTCACCCGGAGAGACGAACTCGTCACTTTTCTCGATACTGTGTGAACGTCGTCGACAGCGATTTTCGATGTTCTCAGATCGAGATTATCGCGAAAGTGTACAGAGAATATCGTAGCGTGAAGTAGGCGAAGAGACACGAAACGCACGTATGCGAAAGGGAGGTATGCACGCAACGATATGGCGGGAAGGGAGACACGAGGAACAACGGTTTCCAAGGGATTATTATACGTATACACACACGCGTAGACTATGGACGCTAAGCTTGGGACCGGCCCCACTAAATTTACTTTGGCCACACAATGGAAGAGGGTGGCGACGTGGCCAACGGACCAGCAGGTCAAACTCGATTCTGTCGGGGATCGACCGACAGGTAGTCGACATTTTCCTTTCCTTTTTCTGGCTTGACATCGCGGCACGTGAACGAGACAACAGAGATCGGATTTCAAAGGAAATACGAAAAGGTTTGCGAAATTGATACGTGAAAAATTTCGTCGAGACACGAAACTTGGGATCGGGAAGCTCGTTGATTTCCGACTAACGCCACATTTCGAGCATCCCGAACGAACGATTTGAGCGTTGCTATTGGACAATATTCAAAAACGATTGACATTACCGCGAGAAGCGGTTCCGACACTTTGTCCTTTTCAAACATGGATTACGCGTTTCGCGATGCCGGCTGACCGTTACATATCGTTGTTGTATCGTTAAATCACCGATAACGCGTCGAGTTCGATAGAGAGAAGGACTCGAGAATTCGAGATAGATAGTAGCACGAAATATCGTTCTACGTGGAAGGACTTGAAGCGCCTTTAGAGGTTACATTACCAGCGTAACGCTCTCTGACTCGCAGGAAACCGTGCAGCAGGATGTTGATCGAACGAATTACGTAGATACTTACCATTCGGCGAACCTCCGCGTCCTCGTGCACGGTACACTTATTTCTCAGGTAATGCAAACTAAACTCGCGACGGAAAAAGGGATAAACCGAATAAACTGAACACGACTGAGAACCAACACAACACACTCACAGGTCACAAAACAGACTGAAGCTCACTGGCTGGGCACCTCTCCTCAACGTTGCTACGAGACTAAGCGAAACGACGCTGCCGCCCTCTGCCGCTGCCGTCGGAACTTCTCGTCGCGCTACCTCAGCCCGCCACATTTCAAATCGACCTTTTCAAACGTTTCTCGTGCAATTACACATTTTCGCCAGACGGAGTATGTAAAACGGTTAAAAACGCAACTATATATTAAACGTATTCTTTATTTCGTTACACTCTAAATATAACATTCAATATATCAACAAAGTACCATAAATATTTATAAGATATACAATCTTCACGATCTTTGGTTGCGATTAAATTATGTAATAAATATAAAAATATATTTTACGTATAACGTACAATGTATAAGATCGAACGTCGAACGTTATTGCCCAAGGTATGCTAAATATTTGTTAAAAACCTGGAATTTCAGCTAGTTTGAAATTGACCCAACAAACGAGGGACATTTCTTCGGTAACGACGTACCTCTGAAACGTTTACCTGTCTCTACTTTATGGCACTATTTAGCTACGATGGTAAATGTCTTCGTTATTGTCCTTAATCCAGGTATACCGGAAAACCCCAACAGACCTTGCACACCGTTTCTTTCTTCGATATTTTCGGAAGATGAGCACACGGTACGCTTGCAAATTTCCGTTTATGTATTTTCTCAACGGTAAGAATTGTCACTCGATCCAGAATTACAGACGGTTTGAGCAATAACGCCGAATTATCCACCTTTTGCGTTGCTGCTTCTCTGGCAAAATACTTAAATCACAATGCAGTTTCAATTATTATTTCAATACGTGCCACACGGTAACGAGCTTTCTGGGATTTTGCAGCACAGAGAACCAGTGTAGCCTTTCGGTCGATCCTCTGACACCTTTCCCAAGCGCAACTTTCCCAATGAAAACGTCCTTTGCCCTGTGAACCGATGTTACCGAATCCTCGCTGTCGCTCGGATGCTCCGCGTTGCTCGTAGCGATCTCGATAGGCGCAGTCTGCGATATTTCGCAAGAATAATCGATCGTTAGAAAATACGTACCTACTGGTATCGTTCAAATTGATACGTACTCTGCTGCACAGCACCACGAGAAATTGCACCATGTCTAATTGATTATACGTCACGTCGAATGTCAACGTTTCGTTGAACTCTGGCTGAGAATCAGCGATGACGAATTTCGTTCTCTTCTTCTTCATTCGTTGTCCCGTTCTTCCGTTGAGCATCAATACCTTGACGTAAGGGTCTGAAAGCGTGGAAGAACCGTGTAGCTTTTCACAGATGCAAGAGGAAAAGCGAGGGTACAAGCAAGTTACGTGTGGTGCTTACTAAAATTGTTCAAGCTCGACACCGTCGGCGTAAACTTCACGTCACGCACCTTCATAACGTTTATAGTCAGTCTCTGTGCAGTGGGTAGATAACTTATACCTAGTAAAATATTTCCAAACTCCTGCAACGTCGAACAAAAAGGTTTCTCCGTTATTCATTTTTCGTTTATTCC